TTCAGTGGGACGTGGGAGAGGCACTTACCATTGTTGGAGTTTGCCTACAACAACTGTTTTCAGTCTAGTATCGGTTTGGCACCGTTTGAGGCCTTGTATGGCCGACCATGTAGATCTCTAGTGTGTTGGGCCGAGGTGGGTGATGCACCTCTGTTGGGCCTAGAGTTGGTTCGGGAAACAACGGAGAAGGTGAGACTTATCCGTAAGAGATTGGTTACGGCTCAGAGTCGCCAGAAAAGTTATGCTGACCGTAGTAGAAGACCTTTGTCTTTTGAGGTGCATGACCATGTCTTTTTGAAGATATCACCTAGGCGGGGTTTGATGAGGTTTGGAAAGAGTAGGAAGTTGTCCCCTCGATTTATTGGTCCTTTTGAGATCATTGAGTGGATTGGGGAGGTTACTTACCGTTTGGCGTTACGGCCACAACTTTTCGGAGTACATGATGTGTTTCATATTAGTATGCTTCAGAAGTATGAATCGGATCCACCGCATATGTTGGATTGGATTGACTTGGAGGTAGACGAGGATGCCACGTATAAGGAGAGACCGGTGAGGGTCTTGGATACTCAGGACCAAGTTTTGCGAGGCAAGACGATTCCCTTGGTTAAAGTATTGTGGAAACACCACGGGGTTAAGGAAGCAAGTTGGGAGCGTGAATTGGAAGTCCGAGAGAAATATCCAGACTTATTTGTTGATGTTTGAGTATATGTTGAGATTTTAGTTTTGTTTATGAACTATGAAAACATTGTATATGTTTTGAATTATGAGAGCATTGTATATGTTAAATGTGTTTCGGAAATACAAGTATAATTTGAACATTGTATATGTTGTTTGAGTTTCGGAAATGCAAATATATCATAAACATTAAATATGTTTTGGAGATATGGAATATATGTATTGAAATTAGTTAAATTTCAGAAAAAGGCATATTGGTAAAACATGTTGGGCTATATATATATTGTGGATTTGTTTCCTTGTGAGGAGACGGAATGACCGGTAAGTAGGTCATGGTAACGAGAATTGAATTGTGACCAATTTGAAAACTTGGTAAACATGGTTTTGAAACTTATACTAAAATTTCGGGGACGAAATTCTTTAAGGGGGGGAGGTTATAGCGACCCCGATTTTGCCCCGGCCCTCATTGTGTTCCGGACTTGGGATCCGTGGTTGAATATTGTATCCATGTCTTGTTTTTCCCCTTTGACTCTTTGCATTTGAGTTTTGGAACTTGTTGGGCGAGTTTGGGACATGTTGGTTGTTAGTTGGTCTAGATTGTTGTTGCCTAGATTTTGGTTTCTTCGCTCGAGCGAGGCTTCTTGCGCTCGAGTGAGCCTTGTGTAATTTGCTTCTTCTCTCGAGCGAGGTTTCTTGCGCTCGAGTGAGCTTTGAGGGTTCTCAGGTTTCCTTCCCAGACGCAGCATTTCTGGGAAGATGAAGTTCTTCGCTCAAGCGAGGCATCTTGTGCTCGAGCTAGGGTGTGCGTTTGTGTTACACCTGAAGGTATGTATTCTACGCTCGAGCGAGGCTTTTGTCTCTCGAGCGAGCATGTGCGTTTGTTATACTTCTAAAGCTTTGCATTTTACGCTCGAGCAACGCTTCTTGCGCTCGAGCGAGGTCACTTGTTGTGTCTAGTCGCTCGAATGACAACTCCTTCGCTCAAGCGAGGGTCGCGTATATTAGTTCATAGCAGAGGAGTTTTACATCACTTTTTGAACCCCTTTTTGTTAAAAACCCTAGATTGGTTGTCTCTCTCTCTCTAAAATACTCTCTCTCTACAAATACTCCATGATCTAAGGGTCTCTCCACCCTACTACCCTTGATAAAAAGTTAGAGCATCTTGTGGGCTTCCTCTTAATCCGAGCAAAATCGAGTTTGGGCACTTTTGAGTTTCTTCTTCATCTCCTTTGAGCTTCTACACTTGAGGTAGGGATAGTCTACACTTTAGTATGGTTTTTAACCTAGGTATTTGATGCTATGTATAAATGGTGAGATTTGGAAGTGATTTGGTTAAACTAGGGTTTGGGTACAAATTAAAAAAGGGGTTTTCCATGTTGGGTTGTAAAATGACTTTGGGGCTTTGAATACCTAGCTCTCTTGTAATTAAATGGGAAATTTGGCCTTGGGGTTGACATTTGAGAAAAGGGAAAATTTGCCCTAATTTGGGTTGAATAATTCATCTTGTATGAAATTGGAAGGGTATATAGATGAATGTTGTAGTTGGATTTGTTAAATCACTCACCTATGGAAATTTGTTAAATTATTTGTTTAATAGATTGTATATCTGTTTAGAAATATCTGTTTTGGGCTATCGATGGAAGATAGCTATGATTGTTATAGAAACTGCATGAGGATTAGGTAAATTAAAACTAATCATATGAATTAGGTCATTGAATATGACGGTTTGACTAAATTGTTGAATATGTGAATTTGGTAGTCATTGTGTACGACACGTCCTTAAATACATTGTATATGTATTATTGTTTGGGAGGAGATAGGAGATGTACTCCATG